CGTAGAGAAGCCATTGTACAAGTTAGGAGGTTGAGCTTTGAAGGAGTTAATTTCTGTGGAGATGAAAAAGCAATACATAGAAAAACTCAATGCTCAACATCAAACAAACAGAGTGAAGCAGTGGAACCATCATGAGCTAGCAACTTTTGTATGGGACACTAGCCTCCTGGCAGATCCAAAGCCTCATTACAACTTCATGTTCATCAAAAGAGATGCAAACCATGAAGTAGATACATTAGCAAAACATGCAAGATCTGATTCCCATAATTATGTTGTTTCTTGGAATACTAATGTGTAATATGATCACAACTTTCATGTATTGAAATGTTTGTCGGAAACAAAAAGAGTTAGTTAGCTAGAAGACATATTCATTAGCTTTAAATAGTCGAATGTTTATTGCCTTTTGTGCATAATGGCGTTGACTTTTGACTATAATTTTCTCTACTACTTTATCTTTGCCGTTAACGAAGAAAATACATTCCTCATGTAACTATCTCTTGTACGACAAGAAACAAGTCACGAGACTTGAGCTGCGAGACCTAAACGTAAGTTTACTAAGTTACACTCAACCTTCGCTATTCTTTAAATTTCAGTTTTATTTTTTTTAATCTTCATATTGTACTTTGTCTAAATCTGAATTCTTCTTTTTCTAAGGTCCCTAAAACCATACATAAAATACAGGCTTTGTCCGGTTGACTTTTTTCCTCTCTATGTCAATTCTCTTTTTGTCTCTCTAACTATCAATCTCTACTTTATTTGGACCGTCATTTTCTCTTCGTGGAGTAAATTTTTAGAGAGAAATGGATATATTTCCTGGATTTGGTGGCTGGATCAATCAGAACATTCAACAGCCTCTTACCAAGGTCAGCTTCATTTTATATCATCAATCAAAGGACCCGAGAAAGGCAATTATAAGCAACTTAATCCGTCATTAACTTATAAAAACTAGATCATGATTCTATTTGTTGTAGTAGGCTGAGTCCAAAGGGATCTGAAGATGCTAAATCTAAGTCAATGTCAAAGATTAATACTCACGATTGAGATGAGATGAAAGAGCAGCTAAAACTTTGGAGAGATGCAAACAAGAAGGAACAATGGCATGATGCTCCTGCAAAGGTGAAGGTAATACCAAAATCAGCTAATAAAATCTCAGTACTTTGGTTTTGTTTTGCCTTTAAAGCAATTATTAAAATTAAGAAAAAAATATCCCAAAATTTTCTTATATTTATTTCATGTGTGAAGGTGGAAATAAGAAATGATATAGAATGGGGTCTTTGCCATATGCACATCGAATTTACATTAGGATTGCCTCCTCAAGCAGCAGCATACGACGTTTTAACTAATCCAGATAACCAACTATACTCCAGAGTTATCAACCATCGCGAACTTATGGTTTATTATTTTTCTTATCGTTGTATGATTTAAATAAGTATTACTACAACAATAAATTTAAGAGGTTTATTAGCAAAACAAAACTACAAAATAATATTTGAGAATGTGATTCTTTTTTTTCATATGAAGGAAAACATATCAAGAAAAGTTACATCGAAGCGGCAGACATATCAAGGAAAAGGGCAGATCGTGGAAGCGGAGACAGTTTTATCATGGAACTTCCTTTGGTGGTCTCTACCTATCCCAATACGTCTATCTTTCATCGAAAACCCGAAAACAAACTTATTGTAAAAAACTTCCCTCTATCTATCATGAGGGAAAAACTTGTTGTTCAGTCTTCGAGAAAATTAATTTAGTTTTCTCTTGCTTATTGTTGGCAAGTACATTATGGGAAAATGAAAATGATGTTCATGGAAATGTTCGAGGGCAACTATACAGTGGAGCCAATATATGTAGATTCAGAACGTTTGTGCAAGCACATGAAGCCGAAGAGTCGAGAAGAATACAGAAAATGTAGTGGCGGACAAGGAAGGATTGCGTCGAAGGTGGAAATGAACCAGGTCTTTAAGCCTTCTTCTCTTTTTAATCTGCCTCCGCTTTCTTGGTACATTCTCTCGATCACTATCAAGACCACAAAGACTTTGGTCCAGGATCTTCAAGATCGGAGTGCCATGATCCGAGGTGTTTGAAACACACCAAACCCTTGTATCCATCGATGATACCATTTTGTTAGAAACATTAAATAGTGTTCTAAAATCACTTTGTAATTAGGCCCAGTAACTCTCGTTACTTCGTCAGCATTGGTACTCAGTTCGTAAAGCACAAGGTTCGTCAGCTTCCGAGCGTAATCCCTCTTTACTTAGTACTTACAAGTGTTGTTATTGTAATCCATTTTCCAAACACATAATCAATAAAACGGGAGTTTCCGAGCCTCTGCTGTTTATAAATTTACTGTTGATCTCACGAATCAACACCCATTTCGAGCTCCCATTAAAACGCATATGCCTTGTTTCTAACCACAAGATCGACGGTCTTGAAAAGATGAGAATGCAGTAGCGATCGCCCATCATAATATATGCATTCCTGTATTTCAGCCCCTTGATTTGCAAAGACTGAACATAATAATTTCATTAAAATTCCAGCAACGTTTCTCGCTCCTAGCAAGTAAACGTAGTGTTCCAAGAACATCCGATTCTCTCGCACCGATATCATATATAGACTGTTCAAATAGCAGAGAAATACAAATATAACAAATAATGTAATTAGTTTTGACGACACCATAAAGTAATTAGTTTTCAGGAAAAAAAATAATCACACAATTATGTTATCCCGAAAAAATATTAATTTTGTACTTTGAAAAGATTATCAATCCAAGTGACCATGACATCTGTATAGGCTGAAACAGTAGCTCTTACTTGCAAGTCAAGAACGAAGTCACGAGAATTGAGTTCCCTAAATTCTTTTTTTTTTTTCCTTTGCTTTCTTGTTACGTACGTAAACGTAAGGCACCCTCCACTTTCCCTATTCTTTCAATATCGTATTCTACTTTGTCTAAATCCGAATCCATATTTTATCTAAGATCCTTGAAACCATTAATACAAGTACAAGATTTTCCCGTTGACTTTCTTTTCTTTGTAACTTGTAATTAAGTCAA